AAATTGACTCGCTGCTTGCGTGCCGCATTCCAGCAGCGCCGCTGCGCGGCTGGGGGATCTCGCCGGTGTTTTTGCCGAAGACGCGCGGCGAAGAGTCTCCGTGGATGCCTCAGATTGCCCGCGCTCAGGGCGTGGCACGGAGGAACCGAGCTGACGGAGAGAACGACGGTCTCCTACCAATCGACTAAGGAGGCGCAGTCACTCGTGCGGCTCGAGGTGCCCCGCCGCAGTTCTAGCAGCGGCGCGGTTCAGAGCACCGATGCGAGTCGCCAGCCAGGAGAGTGCGCCAGGGCCGCCGCCCTCGTAGATATCGAAATGTTGACCGACGGCAGACGGCGGGGGCGCGCCGCTACAGCCAGGTTCTGCGTGCAGAAGGTAGCTCGCAACGTCTGAAATTGCGCGACATAGCTGAGAACGGGCGCCGCCCTCGACGCGCGTTGCTCGGCTGCCTGGGCATTAGGAGCATTGCTGGAGCCAGGGGGCCGACGCCGCATTTGAACTTTGGCAATGGGCGCCCGCCAGCACGCCGCGTCGTCAGCAGCTGGGCCCACGGCGACGCGGGCGAGGCAGCGCGTCGACAATGTCCACTTGCGCAGGGCCAAGCGCCATGGCCGCAATGGCAGAGCGGGCCTGGTCACGTAAACAATCTGTGAATTCAGCCAATAATGGAGCCAGCTTGCAGGTGGGTCGACGCGATGGCGGTCGCCTGCTGCGTGACGTCGCGGGTGATCGCGAGCCGCCCGAGCGCTTTGAGCGCCTGGCGATGCCGTGGCGGGGCGCCTGCAAACCCATAGCTTTGCGCGCAAGTCCGGAAGGAAGCGAGGCGCCACCGCGGCACGCGCAGAGCCACTCAAAAAACATCCTCGGGCGACGCCCGACTCGATCCACCATGCGTGCTGCGGGGGGCCGCGCACCGACAATTTTCTGTAGCGTGGCGCGCAGTGGTCGATCATCGCCTCGGACGCAGCGGGGGCCTGCATCGCGTGGATAGCGGCCTCCTGGATGGGGTCGGAGGATCGCGCCGCATCGCCGATGCATCGACGATGCATCGGCGATGCATCGGCGATGCATCGGCGATGCACCGGCGGTGCATCACCGACGTCGGCGATGCATCGGCGACGCCGACGCGAAGCAAATCGGGCTGCACATCGAGCCACATCGGAGATGCATCGGCGATGCGGCGCGATCCTCCGACCCCATCAACTCCGACCCCATCTAGGAGGCCTAGAGTGGAAGGCCGCGCGCCTGACAATCTGGCAAAGGCCGGGCGCGGCCGCGGGCGCGTCGAGGGCCGCGAGACACGGCGCGTCAGCACATGAGGTCGGTGAGTTGGCGCAGACGAGCGCGAGCGCGTCGAGTTCGAGCGCGCCGTCGCCGAAATTCTGCCCAGGCACGGGCCCTCTTCGCGCCTGCGGCCTCATTTTGTTTGGGGGGGCAGCTGAGCTGCGAATGGACGCGAGAGGTTGGCTCTTCGCGTCGGTGTTGCGTGGCCCCGAGACTCTCGTGGCAGGTTGCGTTCTGGCGCATCCTGCATCGGGTGAATTGTCGTCGCCGCCGTCGCCGCTGCCTCTGGGGCGCTAGACCTGCTGCGTGCCGGCGGAGCTAATGTAGAGCATCTTTCCCCGCGCGGCCCACGTCGGCGCCCCCCCGGCGCGGCCGGCCCGCGCGCGCGGCTGCCCAGACTGCGTCGGCGATCGCGCCGACGCCAAGTCCGGGGCTTTTCGCCCCGCATGCAACGCGGCGGAGGAGAGCAAGAGATGGCGAGGGAACCTGGGAGAAGTCGAACGGCCGAACGCGGACTTCGATGCGCTGCTCCTCTCCGCTGCCGTCGCAATCGTCGGCGCAGAGGTAGGGCCCCGCGAATTGACGATGGCGTCGTTCATGTCGTCATAGTCGCAGCGAGCGTCGCCGCTGTCGGGCCCGACTACGCGCGGGGCCGCGCGTCGAGACAGAAGGGTCCAGGTCGCCGCCCTGCGTTCGTGGGCTTGCATGGGATGTTTCTCCTGCGTCGCAAGCTTAGCCCGCTGCGCGCGCTCCTCGAGCTGCGATCGATGATGTTCAGCGTGGTCGCGATGAGTTTTGTCAGACCAGCGCTTGAAGGGCGGGGGGGGGGGGGGGGCGCAGTCGAGCGCGCCGATGTCCGACGTCGAGGAAGTCTGCTGCCATCGGGTGCTCGCTGGCGGATTTCGCCGCGCTTTCGACGTCGCCCCGCCGAGCCGCGCGAGCGACCATCCGAGCAGCGAGTGCATGTGCCTGGAGGCTCTCGGGGGAGTCGAGGAACGGGCGATCGCGGGCATCGCGTGCAACTTCTAGCCTGGCCCATTCGTGTAACTCGATCTGCCTCGGGGGGATTTGTCAGCGAAATTGAGCTGCTGCGCCACTTTGTGGGGGTCCGAAGATGCGCCGAGGGCTGCGCTGTCGCTTATCTCTGTCATGCTGTCACGATCGCTCGTTTGGCCGCTGGCCGCTGCCTTGGAAGCGCCAGTCGCGCCGGGAGAGGCGACGGACTGACGGGGTATCCAGCTCGGCCAGCTGCTCTAGAATCTGTCGGTGGCAGATACTGCGCGAGCACGTTTGCCGTTGCGAGAGGCGTCGTCGCTGGAATCCGCTGGAAGTTCCAATCATCCGCGCAGCCAACTTCCGCCGCGCAGGGGCTCGCGCGCGTCGGCCCATCCCTGCCCTCCACCTTCGCGCGTTCCCGTAAGCAAAGAATTGCTGGAGAGGAGTTCGCAAAATATAAAAAAAAAACACGGAGGACAACGGCCCGCGATGATGGCGCCCGAGCCGCATGGGAGCGGTCAGCGCGCAATTTCCGAGATCATCTGCGCCTGCTGGAGGGTGAGCTCGTGGTTGTGGGCGTTGAAAAATATGATCAGCCGTCGATGGGCCTGCGTATCCGAGCGCAGCGCGCGGCCAGGGGCCGCCTCCAACTTCGCCGCGTTTGCTTTGGAGGTAGCAGGTGGAGTGGTCGCCGCTCCCCCTGCGATGTAAAGAATCGCAATCTGAAGTAAAAGCCCGTCGCCCCCGCTGGGCCCGCTCGAGGCAATTCAATCTCGCCTAACCCCTTTTATTCCGCCCCTGTGGTTAAATGCAGCGCGAGTGCTCCAAGAACTGAATAACGCGTTCGGCGATTTTGTCTTGAAGCAACAGACCGCCTCCACCGACGCGCTAGGAACGTCGCTTTGCATCTCCAGGGTTGAGGGGGGGCGGGGGGCGCGATCGATTGCGGAAGCTGCGTCGTGCGCTGCCGATTGAGCTGTAGCCCGGCGACTAGAGCGTTGGCCCATCGCAAGTCCGTCTTACCGTTGCCAGAGGAGGGGGTGAACAGGGCGATCGGGCCCCGGCTTGCCCTGATGAGGCCGCGATCGCGATCGAAGAACCATGTCTTTGCCGGGTCAATTTGGCGGAAGGATTCCCTGAACTTTTTGCTTCGCACTTCAAGTTTGATTTGTTTAAGGTTCCTGTCCGCGCCGATGTGGAGGTCGCGCGGCAAGCCGATTGCTGATTCCTTCTGAGCGCGTTTCTACTCCCCAGGGCCGAAACGTTTAGCGTCCAATAACTTGACCACTCTGCGAGACGCTGGTCCACTTGCACCACTGAATTGAGCAGTAACTAACAAGAGGCCTGTTCTGCACTCACATAGCGGTAAGCCAGTCCGTGAGGCACTCCTTGACACGGTTAACGTTCGCGAGTTTGGAAGTCAAGACCTTTGATGGTGGCATGGCCAATCTCTCGCTCGAGCCCATCGGAGTTGGTGACGGGCTTAGGCTGTGCACTGGCCAGTGCCAGGGTCTCACGAAGTGGCTGAATTTCTTCACGGATGTGTACGAGGGCGGCGCTATGCTCTTCCAGTCCGGTTTCAGCTTCCCGAGTACGAACATGATGCGCGCCGATCTGCTCCTGAATTTGCCCCTGGAGCCCGTCAATCTTGTTAGCAGAGAAAACTTTGGCCGCGTCCTCAACTACACAGGGTATATCCCGCACAACAACACCAATACCACTGCTGCTTGAAATCTGCTCGTCCAGGGCGGCGGCACAGCTGGCAACGTTGTCTTCGACCGTGGTGGAAACGACGGTGGAAAGATTTTCGAAAAGGGGGGCTGGCGGGTGGATTTGAACTGCTCAATGACCTGCGCGCGCACGAGCTGGCCAGGCTATGCGTCGTTGTTTTATCATCATTCCGTATGCCATATTATCTTCTTCAGGCCGACCGCATTGTCGAGGGTCGCCAGAGCCAGCCAGCACTGCCAAACCAGCACGTGCGGGACTGGGGTGCACTGTTTTCCAGGAGGCTGGTCAGCAGGACGCGGGGGGTATCAGGAGCGCCGCGCCAGCCTTTGAGGCTATTGTTGGCTCTGGGCCCATGCGCACCCTCGCTCCGAAACTGTTCGTCCATGTGTTGATGAACAGATAGAGTGGCACGAGCGGGCAATTCCACTGTTTACCCACCTGACCGTCTGCAGGAGGTGGGACTGGCTTCGCCAGGAGCAAGATGAAGGATGGTAGCAAACCGCGGACTAACGGTATCTATTTTGTATCAGCAGGAACAAACATTTTTAGCCAAAGCGGATACAGAGGAAAAGTAAGAGGAGAAGGAAGAAGAGGAGGATGACGAGGATGAGGGAAACAGTCGGGAATTGTTGCTCAGCGTGTCGCGGCGGCGGCCTGGCGACACGCTTGTCGTGTGTCGCTCAGGCTCGCGGGGAGGGAGGCTGGGAAAAACTGGGGACTTTGTCGCCTGGAGATAGAGAAGTGGATACTGCGTCGCGCCGAAGCGTGGGCTGGAACTGGCGGAGCGACACGCTAAGCCAAAGTTCCAAGCCGTATGAGGAAGACGTATCGGTCGAGGCAAATGAAGGCAAGAAAACGAGGATCAATACGAAATGGTTTTCTTCGGCCCTCTGCGCGACAGCTCCGCCGTTTCCATGGACCACCGCCGGCTACTGCATCCCTTGCTCCAACTCCCGCCCAATCCTCTCCCCCTCCGCCCCTCCCTCCACCGTGGATGTCCGACCGACAGTGCAGCATGGACACGGTCTTCCTCACGCCGTTGCTGAAGGTGTTCTCGAAGAAGCTGAGATTGATGTCTCGATTAGGCATCTGGCGCGGAGGAGAGCGGGAGGATGGAGGGAGAAAGAGGACGGGGGAGGAGGGGGCATGAGGGGGTCAAGGAGGAAGAGGAGGCGCAACTTCAGTGACTGGAACCGAGATCTGGGTGCCACCATTCTGGCGAAGCGAACTCGACTGCGACGACGACCGAACAGGCTCTTTCAAGGTCCACGGTTGGGCCCCCCTCGGAGCACCATCTCACAATCGATGTGAAGGGTTCGATTAAAAACACATCTTAGTATCAACGATGCTTTCACTCAGGGCTTCTCCAACGGCCCGCGCTCGCCCGTGTGTTCTTGGAGAGCTATGACCAGTCTCCTACACTCGCCCGTGGCTGCTTGGACCTCCATGGCCATGCACATCGCACGCCGCAAATTCCCTTCGTAGGTTGTAGGCTTACCGTATGCTTTATCTTATCCCTCGTCCTGCCCCTGCCCTTCTTATGTCCCCTCTCCCGCCTCCGCGGTTGCGCAGGTCGTGCCAGGCTGAAACCACTGGCCCGGCTGCAGCCCGCAGCGCTGGCAGTACGACTTGTCTACCTCGTCCTGGCAGAACGGCTCGACAGGAAAGGGCTCGGTGAAGGGAAGGTGGAGGGAGGGGGGAGTGGGGAGGGGGAGGGAGGCCAGGAGTGCCTGGAGGCGCCCCGCACAAACTGGGCCAGTCCAGGAGCTCCCCCCCAGGAGCATCTGGGGTAAACAGGCAAAGAGAACCCAGTGGACCCTGTCTGGGCAAGCCGAGTCCGAGGGAGGAGGCGTAGAAGGAGAGGGCACAATGCGTCCCATCGTGTTCCCTCTCGGCGTGCGTCGTCTACCCCGGTGCCCGATCCTGCTGCCACGTTCCCACGAGGCGAAGCAGGACGTGACACGGCGATGCGGGAAAGAAGATCAACGTGAAGCCATACACTAGCAAGGCGGCAAGCGATTGAATCATACCAGATATGAGAGGTGCAGCAAGTCAATCAGAAGGAGGATGGTGAGGAGGAGAAGGAGAGGCACGAGGATGACCAGAGGAGAGAAGCGAAGGACATGGAATAGGGGGAGGACGAGGGCAATGAGGAAGAGATGGAGGGTGATGGTGAGGATCAGGATCAGGACGAAGATCAATAGGAAGCGGAGGACGCGGAGCAGGACGAGGAGGATGAGCAGGAGGAGGCAGTGGGAGGACCATCTGGTGGACGATGACCCCTCTCGCCAAGGGCTTTGGGCACGTCCTGCTGAGCCTTGGAGCGCAGGGCCTGGATGAGGTCGCCGAAGAGTGGCTTCGTGATCGTGCCTCTTGCCGACACTTGTTTTGTTGTGATTTCTTTGTGTTGTTATCCACCTCTTCTTCTTCTCCCTCCTCCTCCTCCTCTTACTCTTCTTGCTCTTTTTCCTTATTCCCTTTCTCCTCCTCCCTGTTGCCTCCTCCTCCGCTGGACGAAAAAAGAAACGGGTAGGCAGAATGGGGAACGGAAGGGGAAACGAGAAAATAATGATCGGAATGCGACGAGGAAAATTATGAGGATGGCATGCGATCGTGAGGAGCGAACCGGAGAGGGGGAGGAGGGAAATGGGGGGGAAATAGCAAACACGAGGCATAATCGATCAACACAGTTGCGTCGTCGCCTCCAGTACGGGATGTAGTGACGAGGGGTAAGTGCCAAAAGTTAACGTTTGATTCGTTTTCGGCTTTCTCTCGATTTATTCAGCGCTCTCTCCAGACCCTGGGCAGGTCAGAGGCAGCCACTGTGTGGTGAGCACACCGTCAAAAAGATGGGGGTGGTCTCGACAGCTCGCCGGGCCGCGCCGTGGGCCCGCTTGCCGAACTGACGTCCTTTGGCAACCTTGGCGAACTGCTGCGAAGAGCGCACGGCCGGAGCCTCGCAACCACGACGGGCTCCGGCGCCAGGAGACGCGCCGGAGGAGCGTGCCGAGGAAGGCGCCGGGGAGCGTGCCACAGGACGTGGCACGGGACGCGGCGCGAGACGCGCCAGAGACGCGCCAAGGGACGAGCCGCGGATCACCTGGAGGCTCCCTGGATCTTCACGCCCCGCGACCAGTCGAGACGTCGAGGGCCATGCGATCGCTCGTGAATTATGCTGCGCCTGCGCTCCCAGGGCTACGAGCCATCGTTTACCCCACCGGGCTCGCACTCCCAGTGCCACGACTATAGTAAGTGATGTTGCGTCCGCTCCCCCGCTGCCTCGATCCCTTGTAAATTACGCGGCGTCTGCGCTCCCAGGGCCACAATCCCTTCTCAATTACACGAGATTCACGCTCCCAGTGCCAAGATCCCTCGTGAATTACGCGGCCTCCGCGCTGCCAGGGCCAAGATCTCCTTGTAAATTCCGCTGTGTCCACGCTCCCAGGGCCAGGATCCCTCGAAAATTACACAGCGTCCGCGCTCCCATGGCCACGATCCCTGGTAAACAGCCGTGCTCCCGCACTCCCACGACCACCTGGGAAGCCTGGGCCGCCCAGGCACGCACCAAATCAACTGTTTCTCGCTTTCTGTAAAATTTCTGGACCTCCCGATTTCAGTGTTTCCCATAGATTCTGTGCAAAACGTGCCGCATCGTGTTTTTTTGTTTCATCGCAAATAACTCCGCCGACCTCCTTCAGGTCGAAGCTTGGGGTAAAACCTCTAAAATAGAACCCTGGGCCGACGCCCTTTCCCGGAAACACATGTGGCTCGAGCTCGGGACCACAATCTTAGATACCCCTTCTGGGTGGCCTGGACACGTGAAAACACATGGTTCCAGTTCGTGGCCAGCATGTTAGATACCCTCCACGGAAGGTCCCAATGACACCGCCCGCATGCGTCCGCCACCACCCAACACGGCCCTTGCTCCCTGCGTTTAACCCACCCAATACAGCGCTTCGTGGCCCCATGGGGAGCTCCACCGAAGGTCTCAGTGGCACCGCCCGCATGCGTCCGCCACCACCCAACACAGCCCTTGCTCCCTGCGTTTCACCCACCCAGTACAACGTTTCGTGGCCCCATAGGGAGCTCCACGGGAGGCCCCAGTGGCACCGCCCGCATGCGTCCGCCACCACCCAACACGGCCCACCCAGTACAGCGCTTCGTGGCCCCATAGGGAACGCCACCGAAGAAGATATTCATAATTGCGGTACTCACAAATTCACAAATTCATGTGGTTGGGTCCTTCGCCGGGCTATATTTTTCTCAGGGCTACTCATTGGGAAAAAAGCAAAAGGGGTCATTCCGAACAGCCACAAGCGCAAATCCTGCAACGTCATCCGCACCCTCACTGCTTTCCGGGACGTCGCAGCAAAATATTACCACTGCTACGGCTACTACTTCTATTTTTGCGAGCAGTAATACTACTAATGCTATTATTACAAGTCTTCGTATTACTGATACGGCTACTGCTACTGCTACTGCTACTGCTACTGCTACTACTACTACTACTACTACTACGACTACGACTACGACGACGACGACTACTACTACTACTACTGCTACAGCTACAACACTGACTACTACTACTACTACTATTACTACTACTACTACTACTACTACTACTACTACTACTACTACTACTACTCTCACGACTACTACTCTTGCTACAACTATGACGACGACTACTACTACTACTACTACTACTACCACTACTGCTGCTACTACTACTACTACTGCTACTACTAGGGTTACTACGACTATAAGCTCTAGTGCTACTACTGGTGCTAAGACTACTTTTGAAACCAGAACAACAATGATACCAACTACTAGGACTACTACGGCTACTACGGCTACTGATACTGCAACGACTACAGATACGACGACGATGACGACAGTACCACCACTACTGCTACTACTACTACTACTGCTACTACTACAGCTACAACAACTACTACTACCACCACTACTACTACTACGTCTACTACTACTACAGCTACTACTGCTACTACTACTACTTACTAATGACTACTACTTATTACTACTACTACTACTACTACAACTACAACAACTACTACTACTACTACTATTAGTACTACTGTGGCTACTACTACCACGGCTACAGCTATTGCTACTACAACTACAGCTCCTACTATTATTTAGTACCTCTGCTACTACTACTACTTACTGGTACTACGACTTACTGCTACTACTACTACTACTGCTACTACTACTACTCGTACTACTACTATTGTGTCACGACTGATACTACTACTAATACTACTACTACTATTACTACTACTACTACTACTCCTACTACGACTACTACTTACTACTAATTACTACTACTACGACGACTACTACTACCATTTTCACGACTACTATTACCACCACCACTACTACCACTACTACCGCTACTACTGTTACTACTACTGCTACTACTAGTACTGGTACTACTACGACTACTACTACTTCTTCTACTACTATTATTACGACTACGACTACTACAACTACTACTACTGCTGCTACTACTACTACTCCTGTTGCTATTACTGCACCACCACCACCACCACTACTCCTACTACTACGACTACGACTACGACTACGACGGCTACTACTACTACTACTACTACTACTACTACCACTACTACCACTACCACTACTACTACTATTACTACTACTACTACTACTACAACTACTACTACTACTACTAATCCCACTGAAACAATTACTACAACACCTACTACTACTACTACTACGATTACGACTACCACTACGACTACGACTACCACTACGACTACGGCTGCTACTTCTACTACTACTACTACTACTACTACTACTACTAGTACTATTTTACCACCGCTGCTACTACTACTACTACTATTTCTACTACTACTACTACGACTACGACTGCGACTACTACTACGACGACTACGACGACTGCTACTACTACTACGGCTACTACAACAACTACTACTACTACTACTACCCTTACTACTCTTACTACTACTACTACTACTACTACTACTACCACTACTACCACTACTCCTACTACTACTACTACTACTACGACTACTACTACTACTATTTCT